TAGTGAATATAGGAAAAGAGTCAAACTGATTTATAAATCTTAACATCTTAGAAATAAAACAAATGAAAAGACAGAAGTCATCACTGGCTGCAGACTAAAACTACAGTCATCGGTCATCTTCCTGACATGGCTAGAAAATTTAACTAATTTTCTTCCACACCGGGACCTGGGAGGGGAAGCTGAACAGTTAAGCTTTATTCAATGCATATTTAAATCCTGAAGTTCTGGAATTGGGGAGATTTAGTCATGTACTTTTGAGCTCATGGAAAGAAGGGGTTGATAGCAGCAGCTCCCCAGTTAGCAGGCGGGCTCCCCACAGCTGTGCTGGCCTGTTCAATTAGGCTCTTACGTCACCTCTGTTGTGCCAGTCCTAAGCGCTCATGAGCCAGCACTGCCAATCAAGCCAGAATGCAACCACATGCTATGGTTTTTATGATGCAGACAGAAAATGACATGAACTTGTCTCATTCTGGTGAAAACACAAAGCTTGAAGCCAGCTCTCTAGAAGAAAATTCGTAACAATGGCAGGACTGTAAAACATGCTTTAGACACATTTTCCTGTGATTATCTCAACACACAAAACAGCAGGTTATTCATGGTGATTCAAGGAATGCTCTCACTTGGGATGAGTCTGTGGTCCTCGTGCTACCAAGAGGTCACCTCTGGGTCATTCTCTAAGCAGTAGAATACATGTACTGAGAAAAGGGCAGAATGAAACTTACATAATTGAATCTCAGAAAGTGTCATCCCTGGAACCTGAAAGATATACAAATTACAAGCCGAACTGTCTCTTGACCAAAGAAGCTGGACTACAAGAATGAAGTAAAAAACCAAACAAACATGGAAAATGTAAAGAATGAGAGGGCCATGAAACAGTCTCCATAAGTCCTTTTCTGTTTAGTTCACCAGCCCTTGTGATAAAGGCACTCCATAGGTGCTGCACAAAACGGAGAAATTCATGAGATGCTGTATTTTTCCTGGATTCTTTTTTTTTTTTTTTAATAAAGGAAGATAGTTTATTTGGAAAGGGGCAGATAAAGAGAAGACAGACAGCTACTCTAAAAGAGTAGGGGGCATTGGAAGGCAAGTACCTACCCGGATCCTGATTAAGCCATAACAACACTAGATAAAGTGTCATCATAAGAAAATTCTTGTGCAAAATGCACTAAAATAAACTGAGCTTTAAAAAATTAATAATTTATGTATTTCACCAATAAAAAAATCCAACAACTCTGACCTTAATTTTGATATTGGGCTATAAGAATAAACTTTGTGCCTCTCCTAAATTAAAGCAATAGCCTACACCACAGTGTGCTAAAATATTTCTTTCCACTGTATTTGTACCTGTTGGTGAAGGAGCCTCAACTTGTATTAGTAATCCTCTAAAGGTACAAACACCTGTATTCACTTATTCATTCTCTCCCTCTCAAAAGTCTTCAATATTCTTAGACTCTTTCAAGGAAAAACTTTCCTGGTATAACAGAATTCTTCTGTAGTTCACTAGTGACCACTATTGGACATTTTTTCCCTCAACTTTTATGAAGCAATAGAACTGCTTAACATGAAACTAATAACAGTGCCAGGAAGTGGTCTTGAACAGAAAGAAGTGCTCAAATCAGGAGCCTAAGAAAGCAAGAAACATGACAAGAACTTCACAAAATATAAAGACAATATTTTTTAAATAAATGCCACACTATGTTCTATAAATTTATGAGAAAAATCCTTAAGCTTGACTTACTGACAATGTAGGTATATATGAGAATAAGGAGTGTAGAGGGAACAGTTATAGAGAAGTACTTACGTATACACACAGTTATGCAGACACAGACAGACAGACACACATACACAGATTGCTAGAGCAGCACATAGTTTGCTGTAAATAAGGGCTGTAACATTTATTCCACAGCCTAATGGTGCTTCTCACCATCCAAGATAGATCCACTTAGATAATAGTGGAAGCACGTGCCAGAGGAACCAAAGGGAATGGGCTCTTGTGTTTGACTAGTTTCCATGTATAAATTAGTGGAGAGAAGAAAAAGAAATTCAACAGAAAGACACATGTACTTTATTATAATTCCTAGTGTTACTCTTGCAACTCTCACAATAGCAGGCAAAAGAGTTTAAAACCACTTAAAAGAAACAAAAAAGCAAATGCGAATTTGATTAAATGCCTTTCTGACAAGAAGTGATTTGACTTCAAGTGTAGATGGACACATGGTCAATGGCTGGTCATGGTTTTTATCAGATTTCTCTGGAGCTGAACAACTGAGACAAAGCAAGGAGAATAAAAAGGGGAGAAGGATGGAAAGATTGGGAAAGTCAAGTTATGTGGCTTAATTTGACTTAAACATCAAGACGAAATCCATCGATCAGTTTTATCATCCAACTGTGTCCAGAGTTTTAAAAAGTCTACAAAGTATGCCCTGTACATGAAAATATAGGTGGTCACTTAAAACGGATATAAAAACCCAGGGGTAATGTTCTCTTGGGAATAATGTCCTGAAGGAAAAGATTCTGACCAAACCGAGACTCAACAACACACAATATTTGTCCATACTCAAGAACCAAGTCCTGATACAAATGGCTTAGCTGTCAGTGATGTGAAGCCTATTTTGATGAGGTAAAAAACTGACAGATAAGATGTTTTCCAAATAAGTGAAAGAGTCCTTTAGAAGTTGCTTTAATTAATTATGCATAGACAGAGTCTTGTAATATGTAAAAGAAGTACAGGAAAAACAAGCCCTCTAATTCAATTTCTCTCTCAGGCCCAAAGGTTGAGCTGATGATGTCATACTTCTGATATTAAGTCAACTACAGGTCAGGCTAAAATTCACTTTCTCTTAAACCAGCAATTAATTTTGGCTACAAAGCTAATGCAGGCAGTGAATGACCGAGCCTAGCAAGTATCTATGGTATTGTACATATCTTAAGTGGCCAAGATGACGCAGAAGTGTCAGATCTGACAAACAGCAGGGACCACCTCTCACCACTGTGCCCATCATTTTAAACAGTTTAAACCCTGGTACGAAGCAGTCTCCATCACCTGACCTTTGGCTCAAATATAAGCTTGTTTCCTTGGCTGTAAATGAGGTAAATCGCTTTATTTACAGGATTATTGTTAAGGGTTCACTGTAACACTTTTCAAACAGCTGAAGCCTAGCGTTCGCAGTGCTCAGACACACAACACAGGATGGGGCTGTGATGCTGTCACTGCTCTGCACCGGGAGCTATCTAGGCACTCCACAGCCTTCCTTCTTCTCCAGCGTAACTCCCAGGTTCATGTTTTACTTCAAACAGCATAAAACAGCCTGGGTTTGGTTTTATTTTAGCATTGTAATACAATTGCTATAATTTAAACATGGGTAAAGCCCTTCTGAAATAAGCAAACACTCCTTTTTCCACATAAGTCTAATTATATGCTCAAATACATATATAACCATTTAAGACACCAAAGAGGAATATAATGCATTTACCAAATGGGTAGCGAAAGTACCTATTTCTGAATGGGAGTGTATTACTAAAGCATAATAAGATCATACTTCTACATAAAAATATAAAAAATAATGTGTACTAGTAATTTACCTTATGATGTAGTTTGATGGGAAAATGACACACACTTTAAGAAAATCACAAAGAAGAAAAGAAGACAAACTAGTGATACATGTAACTAAGATGTCCATATGGAAAAAATGAGACGCCTTTTATAAACTGCTTCCTCCAAAGTCATAAAGCACACCTAAACATTCTGTTCTTTATATTCCTCAGAGTAGCTAAAACTGATTGTCTATTCATGCTTAAAATTTAGTTTGCCTTTAAACTTCTATGAAAATTAAAAGTTTATTTATAACTACAAAGCAATACTATAATTTTTAGCTATAAAGGTGAAAATTATGAAGACATGGAAATGTATAAAATATTTAATTAATGCCTAATCACTCTATCCCATGGATCTTTCTGGAATTTTTCAATTTGCACAAAATGGCTAGATTCCCTTCTTCAAAATTACAGTGTCGATCAAATATGTGAAAAATCAAAGCAGAATAACATATTCCTTCCTCATTGGAAAAGTAATAAACCTATATAGTAGTTGTGCTTTTACCCTGTGCTTGCCTGGTTACCTTCTGAGGAAGTTCCGGCGTGCCATAAGTGTGACCAGGAGACCTATATTCACAATTGTTTGGAATCAGTGTGTGCACATTTTGGAATAAAATCTTCAGATGAGGTTTATGAAACTGCCTGCCCAGAACACTCTGGTTTAAAAAATGTGCATTGCTATTAATATTTTGAGTGTAGATTTTTTTTGGATAGTAAATGTTCATTTTCTTCCCATGAAACCAAGTATGAGTCACAATAGAACATTTACTTTGAGTCAAAAATGCAGTGTGCACTGGTGTTCAAGAGCAGAGCATCTTATCACTCTGACTGGAAATCAGCCACACAGAATGTCATTGTTTTTTCCTTCTTCAAAAGTAGATCTGAGATCAAAGACTGTAATCCTCAATTCGTAAATACTAGCATTAAGTTGTATCCATAAATGACTCGCAGTAATTATGAGCTATAATCTGAGCTAGCTGCAGAGAAGGCTCTTGGCGCCTTTTCTCTGGGTTTGTAGCACATGAGCCTAGGAGAATAATTTATGAAGAGCCTCCAGATCCCAGGAACGAAGTGAGTGAGCTGATTTCGGGATGTCTGTTATCTGAATTCCAGGCACACACACAACCACTCCCTCCGTCCTCAGCTCCAAACTCTCTACAACACATCCCAAAGTTCACATCCCAGGGTCAGCAGTATTATATACCTGTAACTAATCCCAGAAAGCCTTGCAGAATTAATTTTGTTTGGGAAGTTGGGGATACAGTTCTGGAAGGAGTTGTTTTTTGTTAACCATGTAAACGACGCTACCTGGAGTTCACACACACACATACACACACACACACACCACCCTAGCAGTACCCAGACGAAATGGCAAGAGCAGCATATTGAAAGGAAAAGACATTTACCAGGAGCAGCAGGGCCAGGAGGAGGAGCGGTGTGCCAGGGGGTGCCCGGCGGCAGCGTTCCATGTTTGGCTCCTCGCCGGAATCAGCGGATACAGCGCTCCGAGCTCCTCTCTGCCTGCTGTCACTTCCAGTGCTGGTGCTCACACTCGCCCTGCCTAGGCTCCCATCGCGCCTCACATTTCCTGGCCGGTGGGTGGGTGGATGGGTGGGGGGCAGGCTCGCTGGAATCGCTCTGGAGCAGGCAGCCAGCCAATCAGGCTCCTGCTAATCAGACATGCCCAATAACAAAGCCAGGGGGTTGGAGAGAGTGCAACGGTGTGAGAAGGGGCTGGGCGGAAAAGAGAGCGGAGCTGGCAGCAGAGCGAGAACACGGCCGGAGATGCAGAAGTGCAAAAGATGAGCCAGAGCCTTGTGCTCGTAACTAACCTGTGCAGCTCCGCGTGAGCTGTGTTTGTGTTTGGCATTTGCCTGTGCGGATGTCTGCTTCGTGAAGCACAGCAGCTCCTGTCTCCTGTGACTGAGTATTGTTGCATTCAGGAGAGCAACTTAATCCCCGTCAACACAGAACATATGCCGCAAAGGGAGAGAACCACAGTCAGCAACGGATTTAATGAGTCCTTTACACATTCTGCACAGTTGCTTTTTTCCTCTTTCATAAAGTTCCTCTTTATTTGTCCCTTTGACTTGGACAAGAAATGCTGTAGAACTTTTTGTAGGTACCTCATTAAAACTAATGGTGGCATAAGTTATTTTGTGCATTAAGGGCTTGATGTAGGAAAAAAAAAAAAGAAAAAGCATGCTGCTTCTTTGTAATGAGACAATCTGAAACATCCAGGGTTGACTAATTCTAAAGACACAATTAGAAATTTAGATCCCCTAGTTTGGAAAAGAAACCCTTAACAAAGCCTTGAGGATGAGTGGGACTGCAATTTAGGGCTGAGGAGTTGCTTGCTTTTGACACTTTGCCAACTCTCACCTCTGCTTTAGCAGGGCAAGGGAAAGAAAGGATGAATTAAATTCTCAGTTAATCCCCATACCTTTAATCAACATCTTAGCTTCCTTTTGTCCTGACCCACGTCCTTTCTCAGAGCTGGTATAATGCAGAAAAGAATGAACACGGTCTCTTCTCCTTTCCATCCAGTACTGCAAGTGCATTGGACAGGTTGATCTCAGAGGTCCAGCCCAACCACAGAGGAAGTGCTATGAGCTCACAGTGATGACAAGGTGGCTACAGTAAAGAGAATGTCAGGAAGCTTCCGAAGCCGTTTAATTCATAAGCAAGCAAGGCTTGCCTCTATCAGAGGAGGATTTTATTAGTCTTGGAAAAGTGTTAAGTATCAAACAGGGACACATTTCCTTCTTATCTGCTAAGGAAATCTTTGAATTTTGAAAGAACAGCAAACTTGACCTCACATCTTCATAGGTGAGTCACCATAAAGTTTCTTTCTTTGCAGGTCTGACAGCTCAGAAATAGATGTGATGGAGTCAGAAGGTACTTAGAGTGCATTTCATTACTAAAAAACCTTGACAAGAGGTCTGAAACATACAATATGGAAAGCCTGATCAAGTCCTAATAGGCATGTGAATACAGGCAGGTCTGCCAATATGCATACCTCTGGTGTTGCTTTTCAAAAGGTGAAGAAAAGCAGGTTGTTCAACTTTGATTACTTACTTCATATGGTATATCAATTAAAGGGAGATGACCCTTAAAAACTCCACTTTAAACCTGCTATGAAAGTCAAGGGGATAGAAGACTCCCCCTTTCTCTTCAATACCAAATACATGGAAGTAGGAAAATGGACAGTGCAAATTCACAAAAAGAGGTCCTATTATTTTCCTAGAAAGATTCGCTTTGAAAATATCTTAAAAACTAGCCAATGTTCACAAGCTAAGGAGTGTGAATAAGTTGATGTGAAAATATTGGACTGTCATCTGAAATACTTCTCACATTAAAAAAAAAATCTGATTGATTGGAATAAAACTTTCAGTTTTAAAGCTATGTTATTTCTTTCTCTTTTACACACTGGAGCTTTCTCCCCCCACCCCCGCAACAGGGTCATTAGCTAAAAATGTCCAACTACTTCTACAAAATGGAACATTTTACATAGCACAAGTACTCGGTCTTTACATACATAAACATCACTCATTAGGTAGATTCAAAGGGGAGAACAAGGAGGGGAGAAGGAACAGTAGCAACAGTGCTGATGGCACAATACTGACTGTGGAAGGGAAAAAACTGGCACAGTCAGAAGAGTAACTGACAGCTACTGATATGCTAGTTTAGTCTAGACTCTGTTCTTTGGAAAAATGTTGTTTTTGGAGTTTTGATAGGCATGCCCATGTATGGCACGATAGTCCTGCCAATGAAGTCCCCAAATAATAAATAAGCCAAAGCCCTGATCATTTGTTAAATGCCTAGAAGATGCTCTTCCTATTGTCTCCTGCTTCTGGTTTCCAAGCTCCTGCCATCTTTTCCTGTTGACAGTCAAGAAAAACTAGAAAAGATAGCCCTCTGGTTGAGAATCAACACAGTGCAGGGAACACTCTGAGTTTATTATAATTTTGGAAGTAGAAGAACAAAATCAAGTTGGGTTAGGGTAATGGGGAAAGTTTTGGGAATGAGCTAATTCTGGTAATTAACAAAGTTTATACAGTATCTTTAAGTTTTACAAAACGATTTTACACCCACTATCTCACTTGACCTTCAGACTGATTTGTAAAATTGGTGAAGTGCTTATCCTTTTGCACAGGTGTGAAACTTAGGCTCAAGGAAGTTAAGGAACTTGAGTAAGGCCCTGCAAACTGGAATTGGCCCTAGAATCAGGATCATTTGACTCCAAGCCCACTCTATCTCATGATCATATATATGTGCGTTGTCATCCGTGTATTTATACACATACACAGACTCAGAGGTTGGCAGTCTGGTAGAGTGTGATGTTTTGGGGGGGTGTCTGTGGCAAAGGGAAAGGAGCAGAAAGCAGGCACCCCAGCTGCACTGTGGGTACATGTTACCTGATGATGGAAAGTATCTTACTTTAGTCTACAGCTTCTCTCAGCTTTGTCATTTCTGAGACTATTTTCAGTGCCAAAAGAAAATAACGCAAAGCCCTAGGTAATCTAGATCCATCCCAACACAGCCAGGAAAGGCCCTTATGGCATGTGAGCAGGGCGTTGGCCAAGTTCCTTTTTCCTCTTCAGGTATCTAAATTAAAGCCGTCTGCAAGTGTCTGCCCAGCAGCAGCAGCAGCAGCAGCAGCAGCAGCAGCGGCAGCTGCGGCAGCCGTAACCCTGGTTCCTGGCTCTGTGAACAATGTATTAGGTGAAATGAAAGCAGCAGCGAGAGTGGGTGTCAGAGCTGTCCAAAGCGTCATTCCAAATGGTATGGATTGAACAATACTTAATTTAAAAAACACCAGCTTGGACAGCAGCAAGCTGTTAGCATTCAGCGTACTTTATGACAGGAAAGAATGAGCTAAACTTTCAGAATGTCTTTCCCTGGGGAGAATGCCTCACAGTTTTGCTCCAAAGCCACCTGTCTCGTCCTCGAGGTAGAGCCTGTTGCTCAGCCCTTCGGTTGCAGGAGCCAGTGTGGAGAGGACAGAAGTTCCCCTGAGAAAGAGTCAGAGGCTGTGCTGCAGCGCCCTTCTGGTCGGAGTGGTGACGGAGGACAGATGTGACCCTTCTTTCCTCAAAGGAGTACGGTGAAGGTCTTTGACATCTCTGGCTAATTGTGAAACTTAAAGGGAGAAAAATGGTGGGAGGTTGAGTAAGATAAAATGCAGGGAGGAGACTGATGTTCTCAGGGGTAGCGGTGGAATTTGAGCACAAATACCAATTTCCCTAGCATCCTTCACATACCAGGGCCATGAGAGCATCCATTATAATTTTCAAATTGTCTTTCCCACCTGATCTAATGTGATATGAGCAGCAGCTCCATGAGGTAGAGAGTGATTATCCTCCACAGTTTGCACAAGGGGAAGCTGTGCTCTTATACTGCATCAGTACATGTGTTTCTCATAGCTACTTATCTGCAGAGGGGAAATTTGGGGATATATCTAAGGCTGTTTACCTTTCCCCAGGGCCACTGTGCTAAGAAGCTGATAAAAATAACTACATTTACTGAGAGTGCATGTTCCATGTACTTTATTAATTTCATGTAATACCTATAACAACTGTATAAGGTAGAAAGGTGCTATTTTTGATGGATTAGCAGTCAAGAAACCATTCCAACCAATGCCTTCCTGACATGCAGAGGCCAGAAATCCCAAAATAACATTTTCAGACTCTCTTGCAGCTAAGGTATTGTATACAACTTAGGTTTGGCTCCTTGGAAGCACTGTTTAAATATTTGGAAGGAGAAAGTGAGACAGTGGCCATACTTTGTGATCTTTGTTCATAGAAAAAGCCATAGAGCAGTGTAGTTTGTCTGCAACTGTACAGGCCAGTCGTTACGTTTGTGGGGACCAAGAGACAGGGCTCTGCATCTGCTGGCTCAGAGAAAGTGGATGTAGTTCTCCCTGCTTTGCATTTGCATTCAGTCTTCCACTCAGCAGGCAGCTCCTGGCTGGGGAAGAGGCAGCAGCTCCTGTGATAAGCCCTTCCCTCCAAGCAGCATGGGACTCCTCTGAAAGCTCACACTAGAGTCTTATTCTTTGGCAATTAAAATTTCCTCTGTTATTTAATGTATCACTTTCTGTTTATGTTAGAGTAAATTCTGCTTTCTGCAATGGAATTCTTACTGCTACAACCCCTTTCACAGAGGAGAACACTGCGGCACAGTGAATTAGAGGACCTACCCATGATCCATCACACACCCTGAGAGGGGAGTCCAACTAACCTGGGTCCCAAACCACCAAGCAACACTGTCTCTGCAGAGCAGAGCACAGGAGCTCCATGCAGGGCCGATGGGGGCTTGTCTGAGGATTCAGTGAGGAGAAGCCAAATGGAAAAGAGAAGTTGAAGAAGATCTGAGACATGCAGAGACTTCTAGGAGATGAAAAAGGATCTAGGAAACACTTAACAAGTGTGGAGAGCTGAGGAAGCAGAGAAAAGGCAAAGAATGTGGGGCTCATGCTTTTTATTCACCCCGACTCATGCTTATAGGTTGCTCAATAGGCAACAAATGTGTTTCTAAGTTTTTTGTCCCATGGTCTCTCTCTCTCTCTCTCTCTCTCTCTCTCTCTGTC